CACCCGACCAGGTGTAGTACGATTTTTAAAGTATCTTCTATTTTTTCAAATTTAACGAGTATTGCCATGTCTATTCATTATTCGATTATTTATATAATAAAATGCAATTAAGAGACATTACCCGTATTAAATATCTAAAATATAAATAACTGTCTAAATATTGATTCCTGATATTTGGCTTGCCTGATTCAATATAAAAATTAAAGATAACATTGAAGTTATCTGGAGAATGAAATTCACCCATGGAAGAAATTACAGCGAACCACGAGAGGACAAAGGAGAATGAACATTGACTGGGAGGAAGATGAGTTAATTAAGTTAATACATAAAATCCCCGAATGAAACCATGCCTCGTCGCATGTCTGGCGATAACCGGCGAAGGACTAACAGCATATATGTATACGTATTTCGGGTCTTCTAGCCTCCATGGAATCATTCTGTCCATATATGTATATCCAGGGTAACAAACTCGATGCATACTCACTCCCAAAGGCGGACAGAGAAATGAGCTCTATTGGATTCCATTCTATCAATCGCGCACGCCCTTTGCCGATAAAGGATCCCATATTGAAACCTTCCCGATCCAACGAATCGTTCGAATGCGACAGATATTTAGCCAGAAACGCATTAAGCCGAGGGGACACGTGTCTCTTCAAGAAGCTTACGTAATCCGAGTTTCGTTTCGGGGGCTTTCGGCTCGATTTCGATACCGAGCTCAAACCCTGGGAAAATGTCTTCGCCCGGATGCGATTCAATAAGTCACGGGAAAAAGTTTGTATTAAGTCGTAGAGGCGTGAGCTCGAGGGGAAATCGAATAGACGAATACATTAAATCAGTGAGAGCTAAAACTAGACAAACATGGAATTCATAAGGTCAATTTGTTCACATATCGCGATAAGACACGAGGGAAATTTTCTTATATAAGTTAATCAAAATTATATGTTCCATTTTTTATTCTACTTATGTTAGCTTCGTGGATATTTAGTTTTCCATCTGATTTGGTTTCACTCAGTTTTTATAGTGACGTTATAATGTTTCTTTTTATTGTAGAGTGTATAAATGATATTTTCTAAAAGTCTATGTATTCAGTTATTCACTGTATAATTTCTGTTAATAAATACTGCTTCGTGTTTATCGAATAGTGGTGAAAGAGAATAATTTGAAGCAGGGATACAATAGCTGACGAAATTGTGAAACGCGCGGGCGATGTCAAATTAATCGATGTTTTGGTTGAATTGCGATAATCTATGGTGATGGTACAATATCGCGATACAATGGTAGTTGCGTGAGGGACAATTTTCTGGAAGAGTAATTTAGAGATAACGTTGGAATATCAGAACAATAAGGTGTCATCGGAAGAGATCGCATCTGCTTTAGAAGTTCCAAGCGGGTATTAATTTGGTCTGCTGAACGATTTATCGTATAATAACAATGTCAAACGGAACCCATTTGTACAAGCATAACGAGTTGCACGAAGTTAAATTGTTATTACCTTCGAAAAAATATTGTGGTCAACTCTGAATACATAGCATTATTTTTATTCTTGTTATCACATTAGTTAAAAATTTTTGCCAAGAGTAACAATGACTATAATATTAATTAGCATCCTACCGACCAATCGGGCATGCGTTTATACTAAATCGAAATGGACCGATGCCCCTAAAGCGACAAATTTGATAGCAATATTCCAAGCCTAACCAAGACCAGTGGTCGACCACAGTTAGTTCCTGTTTCAACTATTTGCGTGTAATAGCCGGCGTTCTAACTACGTGGTTCCTGCAATTTCATAAATATCGGACATTCGATGGCACGTTACTATGTCGCAATTAATAACTATGTTACAGTATACCTATATTACCCTAATTTTAGATTGAACCTAAGAATGTAAATACAATATTAAATTATTAATTAGTTAGAAAGTAGAACAAGGTGTATATATTATACTTATTAAATGCACAACGCGGGAATAGATTTGTATGAAATATTATGTCTAAAAAGTTACTAATCATTTTTAAAAAATTAATAAATGAATAATTTTTTGAATAATAATTGAACATATTTATTAAACAGTACGCACAATTTTTCTTTGCCATCACAGTCAATCATGAAAGTCTTCTGACACACACCTGTTAAAATCACATTTTGAAGAAAATTATCAATCACAACTATATTTATTTATTAACACGTGACATAATATTAACAATTCTGTAATAGAACATATCATTACATGTAAATGACTAAATATGATATTGTCTATTCTCTTAAAAATTATATTTTGTGTAGTGTACGAAGACTTTCGCGACTGGCTGTGTACATACATAGTTGTAAGAACTGTCGCCCGGCCCAAACATTAAACCCACCGCGTGTTAAAATCCTGACAAAATCTTGTTTAATTGCAGAGGCGGGAGATGCCACACGGGAAGTCGGATGATGTGGCGGAACAACGGTTGGTTGGCTGTGCTGGCTGTTTCGGTGGTGCTGTCGATATTACGAAACAGTCTGGCGGGCGAACGGTATCCGCTCGATTATGGAAACATCGAGTCGTCGGTTAACCGCAGCAAAGTAGCTTACGGTGCTCGCGGCAGTAATGGGCCGTCTATAAACTCTCAAAGCCACTCGAACTCATCACCTATCCGAGAACTATCCACGAAATCGTCCATCTACTCTAGACAAACCTCGCAATCTCGCTCGGCAGCGAAGAAAAACATCATCGTATCGAGCGACGCGACGAATGCAATTTCCTGGCGCGATGGCAAAGTCGCAGATGCGAATCTTCCTGATGAGAACACCGGTAACGATCGATCGATCCTCAAAGACGCCCTCATCTCTGGACCAGGCGAGGACTGGCCCTCGATGGTAAACGATACCCCCGAACGACGTAGTAAGTTTCGAACGAGCGAATTCGGCACAAGACGTGGCGACGAAGTATCGACTGGTTCCAAGAGAAAAATTCCGACCGGACCGCGTTTATCCTCTTGGATCACCAGTGTCGAAGCGAAATACAACACGGATAGATTGGGAACAGGCCGTGCGATACATCCACCAATTGAAGCGGATGGTCGTAATACGCCCACGCATCGAACGAGGACAACTCGGCCGGGAAAGAATTACCATGGGTATCCATATTACAATCACTTCGCGGCAGATTCAAGTGGCGAGCATCTATCGGATCCAGTGACAAAATCGACCGACGAATTGAATTGTCGGGAAACTGTAGAGGATTTTGAAAACGGTAACGTTGCACCCTCGAGCGGTTTCAGAAATAGTGAAATCGAGAAAATCAATGGAAAGCAATATTTAAAGGAAAATATTGAATCCGCTTCCATTCAATCTCCCACTACTAGTACACAACAGTTTAATACGAAATTGAAATTGGACATTCGAATTGGTACGCACGTGGCAGAGGACAAAAGACGAGAGGGAAACAATGAATTGATATATAACGCAGCAGACAGTAGACACACATTAGGAGTACCCATTCCGAATTCGAAAAAAGAATCAGGTAACAAACAGGAAGCATTCGTTTCTGACATCACGATAAATCTCGACGGGTCGTATTTTTCGCACGATGCGAAAACGTCGAATCGCGAATCACCAAATAACAGGCTCGGAACAGACGACATTGAAGGCGGAAGTCATCGTTCTTCTGATTTGGATGGTGCTTCGCCAACGCGCGAATCAATACTAGTAACGAACATGCACCAATCGGATGAAACTCTTTTGAAACAGAGAACATTAGAAAGAAAAACTGACTACGGAAACTCGGATAGCCAACATTCTTCGTCGGTTCGTGAGAAAAGGTCTTCTATCATTTCTGATAATATAACAAATGCGAATTTATCAGAAAGTGAAGAAAGTTTTCTAAATTTTACTTTAAACAGCACGATAATGAGTCCTTTTGATGAAATAAATAGTCAAGTAGAAAATAAAAAAGACTTAGAATTTGATCTTATGAGAGATAATATTACAAAGAGTTTATTAGATGAATGGAGCACATCCTATGCGGCAGATGGAAATGAAACGACATTAAACGCAAATGACATAATGGTGAAATACGATAATTTAAATTATAATAGGAGCGTAGAGCCAGATTTGGGGATAAAATTCAACCAATTAAACACGTCAAATACGAATCGTTCACACGCAGTATTAAATGACGAATTTATTCCAATAATTGGAAATCGGAACACGACATTAGACAAAAATTTAATAAATAATGAAATAATTACATTAATGATGCTAAGTATAAATAATTCTTCACCACAGCCAAGAAATTCATTATTGAACAATGAATCTAATTCGGCTATTTATAATCAAAATTTAGAAAACGTAACAAATGTGAACTCATCAAATATTTCCGTACATCCAAATACATCAAATAGCAATAATTCACAGTCAGAAACGCACATTCTAAAAACCGACAGTGAATCTGCTTCAATAATGCCGAATGCTGTCGTAGATTTAACAAACGATATAGAATTACACGCGTCGCAGAGCAGGATTAACGAGACCTTCCTAGAAAGGGTGAATAAACCAACTCCGGAAGAGCAGTCTGCGTTAAGTAACGCGACAAAGGAGTCTGAGAACGTCGTCGCGAATTCTCTACGCGGGTCTATTGTGGCATCGAGGAATGTCACGTATCTAAGTCGCGATGCGAGCAGTCTAGCCGCGAGGAGTTATGCCTCCCGTAGCAGTAGCCCATCTGGATTCGGTAGAAGGAATGTGGACGATTCGATCAAAAACTCATCGTCGGCGGAGCTGGGCCAAAAGTTCGCGAAGAATTTCAAAATAAATTCGCAGTCCGAACAATCGACTATAAATGAAACAGATCGTACTGAATCGAATGTCCGATCGAACCGAGAGTCTGACGACGAAATTTCTAAAAGAAGGACAGAAAATGTCAGTATTCGTAATACGGATAGTAATAAAAAAACGCTTGACGGATCCCTAGCCGTCTCAGAGTACGGAAATCCAGTACCCGTTCAGCAAGTGGGTCAAAATATTCGAAGGAGCGGCAAAATTAGGACTAACGAACGGAACATCGGATTCTCCTCGAAAAATGATAGGTATCGAACTGCCACTCCGTATAATGAGGCGACGGATTTTTTTGAATAATAATTGAACATATTTATTAAACAGTACGCACAATTTTTCTTTGCCATCACAGTCAATCATGAAAGTCTTCTGACACACACCTGTTAAAATCACATTTTGAAGAAAATTATCAATCACAACTATATTTATTTATTAACACGTGACATAATATTAACAATTCTGTAATAGAACATATCATTACATGTAAATGACTAAATATGATATTGTCTATTCTCTTAAAAATTATATTTTGTGTAGTGTACGAAGACTTTCGCGACTGGCTGTGTACATACATAGTTGTAAGAACTGTCGCCCGGCCCAAACATTAAACCCACCGCGTGTTAAAATCCTGACAAAATCTTGTTTAATTGCAGAGGCGGGAGATGCCACACGGGAAGTCGGATGATGTGGCGGAACAACGGTTGGTTGGCTGTGCTGGCTGTTTCGGTGGTGCTGTCGATATTACGAAACAGTCTGGCGGGCGAACGGTATCCGCTCGATTATGGAAACATCGAGTCGTCGGTTAACCGCAGCAAAGTAGCTTACGGTGCTCGCGGCAGTAATGGGCCGTCTATAAACTCTCAAAGCCACTCGAACTCATCACCTATCCGAGAACTATCCACGAAATCGTCCATCTACTCTAGACAAACCTCGCAATCTCGCTCGGCAGCGAAGAAAAACATCATCGTATCGAGCGACGCGACGAATGCAATTTCCTGGCGCGATGGCAAAGTCGCAGATGCGAATCTTCCTGATGAGAACACCGGTAACGATCGATCGATCCTCAAAGACGCCCTCATCTCTGGACCAGGCGAGGACTGGCCCTCGATGGTAAACGATACCCCCGAACGACGTAGTAAGTTTCGAACGAGCGAATTCGGCACAAGACGTGGCGACGAAGTATCGACTGGTTCCAAGAGAAAAATTCCGACCGGACCGCGTTTATCCTCTTGGATCACCAGTGTCGAAGCGAAATACAACACGGATAGATTGGGAACAGGCCGTGCGATACATCCACCAATTGAAGCGGATGGTCGTAATACGCCCACGCATCGAACGAGGACAACTCGGCCGGGAAAGAATTACCATGGGTATCCATATTACAATCACTTCGCGGCAGATTCAAGTGGCGAGCATCTATCGGATCCAGTGACAAAATCGACCGACGAATTGAATTGTCGGGAAACTGTAGAGGATTTTGAAAACGGTAACGTTGCACCCTCGAGCGGTTTCAGAAATAGTGAAATCGAGAAAATCAATGGAAAGCAATATTTAAAGGAAAATATTGAATCCGCTTCCATTCAATCTCCCACTACTAGTACACAACAGTTTAATACGAAATTGAAATTGGACATTCGAATTGGTACGCACGTGGCAGAGGACAAAAGACGAGAGGGAAACAATGAATTGATATATAACGCAGCAGACAGTAGACACACATTAGGAGTACCCATTCCGAATTCGAAAAAAGAATCAGGTAACAAACAGGAAGCATTCGTTTCTGACATCACGATAAATCTCGACGGGTCGTATTTTTCGCACGATGCGAAAACGTCGAATCGCGAATCACCAAATAACAGGCTCGGAACAGACGACATTGAAGGCGGAAGTCATCGTTCTTCTGATTTGGATGGTGCTTCGCCAACGCGCGAATCAATACTAGTAACGAACATGCACCAATCGGATGAAACTCTTTTGAAACAGAGAACATTAGAAAGAAAAACTGACTACGGAAACTCGGATAGCCAACATTCTTCGTCGGTTCGTGAGAAAAGGTCTTCTATCATTTCTGATAATATAACAAATGCGAATTTATCAGAAAGTGAAGAAAGTTTTCTAAATTTTACTTTAAACAGCACGATAATGAGTCCTTTTGATGAAATAAATAGTCAAGTAGAAAATAAAAAAGACTTAGAATTTGATCTTATGAGAGATAATATTACAAAGAGTTTATTAGATGAATGGAGCACATCCTATGCGGCAGATGGAAATGAAACGACATTAAACGCAAATGACATAATGGTGAAATACGATAATTTAAATTATAATAGGAGCGTAGAGCCAGATTTGGGGATAAAATTCAACCAATTAAACACGTCAAATACGAATCGTTCACACGCAGTATTAAATGACGAATTTATTCCAATAATTGGAAATCGGAACACGACATTAGACAAAAGTTTAATAAATAATGAAATAATTACATTAATGATGCTAAGTATAAATAATTCTTCACCACAGCCAAGAAATTCATTATTGAACAATGAATCTAATTCGGCTATTTATAATCAAAATTTAGAAAACGTAACAAATGTGAACTCATCAAATATTTCCGTACATCCAAATACATCAAATAGCAATAATTCACAGTCAGAAACGCACATTCTAAAAACCGACAGTGAATCTGCTTCAATAATGCCGAATGCTGTCGTAGATTTAACAAACGATATAGAATTACACGCGTCGCAGAGCAGGATTAACGAGACCTTCCTAGAAAGGGTGAATAAACCAACTCCGGAAGAGCAGTCTGCGTTAAGTAACGCGACAAAGGAGTCTGAGAACGTCGTCGCGAATTCTCTACGCGGGTCTATTGTGGCATCGAGGAATGTCACGTATCTAAGTCGCGATGCGAGCAGTCTAGCCGCGAGGAGTTATGCCTCCCGTAGCAGTAGCCCATCTGGATTCGGTAGAAGGAATGTGGACGATTCGATCAAAAACTCATCGTCGGCGGAGCTGGGCCAAAAGTTCGCGAAGAATTTCAAAATAAATTCGCAGTCCGAACAATCGACTATAAATGAAACAGATCGTACTGAATCGAATGTCCGATCGAACCGAGAGTCTGACGACGAAATTTCTAAAAGAAGGACAGAAAATGTCAGTATTCGTAATACGGATAGTAATAAAAAAACGCTTGACGGATCCCTAGCCGTCTCAGAGTACGGAAATCCAGTACCCGTTCAGCAAGTGGGTCAAAATATTCGAAGGAGCGGCAAAATTAGGACTAACGAACGGAACATCGGATTCTCCTCGAAAAATGATAGGTATCGAACTGCCACTCCGTATAATGAGGCGACGGACGAAAATAATCCGATCGAACGGAACAAAAAGAACATCGACGACGATGCAAATCGAACGTCGAACGAATTTATCTACTCGACTGCGAGCATCAAGAATCATTCACCGAAGGAGCGGAAATCCAGATCCTCCAAGGCAAGAACTTGGACATCGACGAATTTGAAGGTTGACCCAACTGCGAAAGTCGTATATCCGGTTCGCGGGGAAGCTTCCACAACGATTTCAAACGGAAACGAGTTTCCGCAGAATAATGTTTCGTATAGCAAAATTAATTCCACTCCAGTAAGCCGTAACAACGATATTCTTGGAACGTCGTCGGAGGTTGCGTTAGATTCCCCGCTGAAATTCTCGAGCATCGAGGATTCGACGACGAGCGTCACCGAGGAGAATTTTCGAAGTGAGCTTAACAAATCTACACTGTCATCCACAACAGTGAATAAATTCCCAGTCGATATCGAAACATCGAACGAGGAATTGATTGAAGACGGGGACAAATCGTTCACTATGGACACGGTCGTTACTTCTCCAGTACCAAACGGCGATGATTTTCCCGTGACTGTGGATGACACGTCCTTCCGCGGCACAGACAATTCGTCACACGAACTAGAGCCATTGGATCAATGGCCAGTTAAGCACAGCGCGGTAGTGGAAGGTGATTTAGTACTGGGCGGGCTGATGATGGTACACGAGAGGGAGGACACCATCACTTGCGGCCCGGTGATGCCGCAGGGAGGTGTTCAAGCGTTGGAAGCGATGTTGTACACATTGGATAGGCTCAACGATCGTGAAATCGTGCCTGGCGTCAAGATCGGTGCTCACATTCTCGATGACTGCGACAAGGATACCTACGGTTTGGAAATGGCCGTAGATTTCATCAAAGGTACGTGATATATTTGTCTCTGTTGTCCGGTTGACGGCTGCTAATTAATACACTTGATGCCAGCGATTAAGGCCACGATTGACGTATAGCATGTAATAAAGGCCGCGAGAACGGCTAATTCGAGCGGAACTTTCATTAATTTCCCGCGATCGAGTATCGATGATGATTATAAGTATTTATAGAGTTTACAAAATCGTATCAATTATTAAATTATTAAATTGAGCCTTGACGGAATTTTATTATTTACAACTTAAACTGTACCAATTAATTTTTTTTTTAAATAACAATTGACAAAAAAAAATTTAATCTTAATAGATACAATGTGTTATTTAGAAAAATGTAATAAAAAACCTAAATTATGTAATGTACCCAAAGAGTAATAAAGTATTGAGAATGATGTAAAACCAAAAACCTCATCTTGTTTCGCGATAGAAAAGACATAAGGTACAAATTGCATCTCAAGAAACTTTGTTAAATGTAATATTCAATGGCTTTCGCAACATAATATCAGGACGCGTAAAACTACAATAACTTTCCGCTACCAAAGGAAAAGAATTACACGTCTTCTAATTCTGACAACCTCACATGTAATAAATTTTATTCGACAGAACTTTATTCATAGCCTTTGCCAATGGAGGAAAATAATAGTTTTCATGATTGTATTTGCCTGAACTTCAAGTCCAATTGGTTTTTTATTTGTCTCTCTTATTGTCAAAGATAAGAGTTATCGGATTATAAGTACGTAGAGATTATAATAAAAAGTATGCATTTATAAAGCCCTTAAAAAACACGTGATTTACCGCACCGTTGCGTGGTATTACTTCATTATAGCTGGTTCAGACGATGCGGGTTTTAACCGTTTGGTTAATCTTACTGAATCGACAGTAACCGAAAGAAATGTTCACATACTTTCGTATTTGTAGATATTGGCCGGTATTCAGAGTCGTTGCTTATTCTTAAGACCGTCTTAAGAATTTGTTACCCCTGTCTAACCCACATTTCCAGTCCTTGTTTTGTACAGGGAACAGGTGCTTAAGCAAATGCTTAAGACAATCTTAAGAATAAGCAATGACTCTGAATACCGGCCATTGATTACTTTATTATCGTGAAGTACGTGTAAAATGCGAAAAGTGTGAACGGTGCATTCGGTTATATTTGAACATTCATTTATTCATCAAAATTTATTACGCAGCACAACAGAATTAAAATCGAAATCGAAACCACAATCATAATCAAAATACGAATTAAAATCGGAATCCGAATTAAATAATAGAGCACGTACATACAAGTGCAAGCCCGCAACGATTACAAACGAGACCACCGAACAATCGAACTCAATCAAGTGGAACGAGAAGCAAAATAAAAATAATATCGACGAGCCGATGGGATTCGCTCGACGGTCGGGGATCAAAGAACCTCAGAAACGCGAGCACCGGGTCCCTCAGACTTATTGTTAGATGCAATCAGCCGAAATTGCGAGATCATTGGTTAATTCCGAACGTCTTCCGGTTCCAATCTGCATATTTGCTCTTCCTCGATTTATGGATAACCGTGAATAATTATTAGGGTGGTCTTAAAGAGAGCGACCATTGGCTTTATGTAGCCACTCACAGGATTGGTCATTTGGTCATCTGCTCAAGGGTCGTCAAATAAAAATACCAAGATTCGTATTTATTCATTTACTAATCAGAATTTACCCATTTCTACAATACGTTACTAGATCTACTCTATTTCTCGACAGTTGCGCAAATGTTTCCTTATAGTCAGGAGTTCTAGCGTTGAACGGCACACGATAACTCAAATAAACTGTGATATTCTTGTTTATGCTGTTGAGTCTTTGTTCCCCACAAGAAAACTGTATTTACATCGAAGAACCACTGAAACTACGTTTACTTGCTAAACAACTTTTCTCTTGATGCTGCTACTGCTGCTGCTGCATCGCGATCCGTTTTAATCTATTATATTTCTTAGTAAGACACCGACCACGTCGGGTTTACCAAACGAATTGAGTCTTGGAAACTTTTGTCTGGTTAAGAATCGAAGGACGTGCATTGTAAATCTGACCTCGTTAAGCGAATTCCTTTTCTTGTCTTTAACGAATTTACAAAAAAAAATAGAAAATATTTTGTCAAACAAAGTCGGCAAGTAAGCAGACTTTGAGACTGGATATGAGTTTCTACCAAATGTTAGGGAATCCTATTTATATAATATTCCTTTGTTACTTATAATCAAACTGCGTGCTGACTCCGTTCAACGAAATAAAAATGAAAGACCTTACATAACGTGGGGTGATCAAATAATTACTCAATAATGCATAAATTTCCACGATTAAAGGATAAATTAATTTACAGTTTATTACGTCGAATGTATTAAGGATACATTGGCTATACAGTCAATCCCAAAAGTTTATGTGCCTTAGAAAAACGCATTTCCTATAATTAAAAAGAAATCAGACGTCGGAAGAATAATGCTAATAATAAATAGCTACGTCCTAAAGAGTATAGAAGGAAATATCC